GCAGGAGCGGTGTGAGGGGCTTGTGACGCGGCGGCGGCGGGGAGTCGGGTGGCGGCGGCGGCTGGCGGCGGCGCTCACCGGTCGGCGACTGCAGGCCTGCTGGCCAGAGCTCCATCGATCCCGCGCTGTCTCTGCACCAGTGGGATCAGCAAGAACGTCAACATCGGCCAAAGCAGAGCATGCCGGACCGTGACGCCTTCCGAAACGGTGGTGCCGCTCTCACCTGCACACGGTCATCCTGTGGCAGGAGACGCAGTGGCGGCATCCCGTGGGGCGGAAAAGTGTCGTGCCAAAGCTCATGGGGCCAGGGAGGGTCTGTTCAACAGGGGGAGGGGGGCGGCCAGGGTGGAGGGGAGGTATAGAGCTTGATGGATGGCCTCAAAGAGTGTAAAAGCGATGGGAAATGCGCTGGAGGGCAGGCAGGGTGTAGACATCACACGCTTGCAGCCTGGGCTCGTACCTTCTGCGCAGATCCCACCACGGTAAGAGGGGTTTGCTGGGCTTCCTTGAGGGAGTTGAGTCGTGTTTGATGTATCTTGAGCCAAGTCCGAGCGGTGCTTACACAAACACCGCTACCTTTATGGTAGGCGAGCCAGGTGTAGCGACCTGCAAGAGCCACCTGGCCGCGGCCTTACGCTGGGCTGGCAAGGACGCGCTTGGGAAGCGCCAGGAAGCTCATGTGAGAGTAATTTCAGATGCAGGGGGCATGGGCGGGCCATTGGTGCCGAGGCGCCATGCCGCCGCGCATGTTTGCCGCGGGCGGGCACACAGCTGTGCACAGCTGCAGGGTGGGGCTTCTAGCAGCAACAAGAGGATCACACCTAGCGTGGCCTCATGTGCGGGCCCCGCATAACCTTCCAGAGCTGCCAGTCACACCTGCCACATTTGTGTTGCTGTGTGAGTCGACCGCGCGGCAGCGGGTGCAGGTGTGATGTACTGTGAGGAGGTGGCCATTCACTTGCAGCTAAGGGGCATGCAGAGTGCACCCCAGAGTCAATGTATAGGCCCCTGGAAAGTTGTTAACCCACGCACCACAACAGCGTCGGAACGGGGCGGGCAAGCGGGGCCGTCCGGCTGTCGGCCAGGCTGGCGCTGCCGGCAGCGTGAAAGGGTTGGCCTCCGACGGCGGCAAACAAACCACCATGTGCTCATAAGTCTCTGCCGCCCTCTGGGGGCCTTGCAAGGCCATGGCAGGGTTGCCGGGCAGGGTGGAGCAGCTGGGTGGCGCAGCCGGGCGAGTCTGGTCAGTGTATTTTCCTGCTGGCGACATCGAGGGCAGCGAGCATGAGCTCAAATTTGAAGGGGAGGCGCCGGCTGTGCAGGCGCTGCGCCTGTTGCGACTGCAGCACGCTCTGCAGGCCCCCGGGCACCAGGATGCAGCCGTCTCGCTCGCGGCCGAGGTCCAGGTGTGCCAGCAGGCTGCCCGCGCCGCCGGGATTCCGGCCTGCCGCTGCCGCCGCCACTGCCCGCAGCTGGCCACCGCTCGCCGCCCGCTTGCCCCGCCGGTGAGCCACAGGCCTTCACTCGGCAGCAGGCGGCGGAGGAGGAGCAGGATGTGGACGACTGGTGCAACGAGGCCACGCTGCAGGAGCTGGAGCAGTACAGCGTGCGGGACCTGATCAGGTTGCTCCAGGGCGATGAGGAGGAGCAGGCGGCGACCGGCGGCGCCGCCCTCCCGTTCGCCGCCGCCAGTCCAGGCAGCATCCGCAGCACCGACAGCGCTGCGCCTGCACCCAGCAGAGAGCGGGAGGCAGCGCCAGCGGGCCTTGCTGCCGCCGTCAAGGAGGAACCACCCGTGCAGAGCGGAGCGGGGCAGGCAGCCGGCGTCGCCGCGGCGCCGGCGGCCCGCCTGGCGGCGGCCGGCGGCTGCCAGCTGGCGCCGGGGCCTGCGCAGGAGCCAGCAGGACCCCGCACGCTGCCCACACAGGACCGGCCCAGCTGCGTGACTGGCGCCAGTCCCAGCGAGGGCACGCCTGGCCTGAGCTCAGAGCCGCCGGCGGGCGGGGGCCCGCCAGCACCACCAGCCGTCCTGCCGCCACCCGCAGCAGAAACAGCACCACCACCCGCAGCGGCAGCAGCGCCCTCTCCGCCCGCAGCAGCAGCAGCAGCCGCGGCGCCGGCAGCGGCAGCGGCAGCGGCAGCCAGCGTGGCCTTGCCCAGCGGCCGCGGGGAGGAGCGAGGCGGCGGCGAGGAGGCGAGCGACTACCTCGGCGTGTGGCCGGCCGCCGGCCGCTGGCAGGCGCGCTTCTGGCTGCGCCTGGACGAGCAGGCAAGGCCCTGCCCTGAGGGCGGCCCCCACCAGCAGGTGGTGCCCGCCGGCACGGAGCTAGGTGAGCGCAGCGGCGCAGCACGCCTTCCTGGCCCTGGTGTGTGCCTCTGCAGCTGCTTGTCGTCAGGTGCTGGACGCTGTTGCGCCGCCCGCCTGCCCACCTGCCTGCCCGCCTGCCTGCCTGCCCGCTTGCCTGCCTGCCTGCCTGCCTGCCAGCCTGCAACCCCACCCCTGCCGCTCCCCCTGCACAGAGGCAGCGCTGGTGAGGGATCTGGCTGTGCTGTGGCATGAGCGGTGGTGCGGGCCGGCGGCGCTGGATGCCGCCACTGTGTTCAACTTCCCGGTGCAGCGGTGGGTGGCGCGGCACAGGGATGGGCTGCCACTGCCACAGGGGTGGGCAGCGGGCATGCATGGGCGTATGTGTGGACGCTGGCGGGGCCTGAGGTTGCTGCTGCGCTGGCTGCTGGCCATCTCTAGGCGGCCATTGGCCGAGCCGAGCCGAGCGCACGTGCCGCACGCGCATGCCGACGCGCCCAGGCGGTACCGCTCGCTGCGCCTGCTGTGCCTGCAGGTACTGCCACGACGCCCCCCTGGCCTGCGTGCTGGCCGAGCTGCCCACCTGGCCGGCGCTGCTGGCCTACCTGGCTGAGGCTCGGGCAGCCGGCTTCCTGCTGACAGCGGCCCAAGCGTACGACTCAGACAGGCTGCCGCCCACGCCCTGGCCCGACCCTGAGCCCCCCGCCAGCCCGCGGCGGGCCGCCAGGGCTGGTGCTGCAGCCGGGCCGCAGGGCGACGGCGCCGCGGGCGGCGGCGGCCGGCGCGGCCGCAAGCGGCGGGGCGAGGGCGGGCCCGAGGAGGCGGAGCCGCCCGCGCGGCGGCCGCGGCAGCAGCGGGAGCAGCGCCGGCAGGAGCAACGCGCGTCCCCCTACCCCGGGGTTGCCCCGCATGGCGCCAGGCTGTGGTGCGCATCCGTGGGGCTGCCGGCGGCCGGCGGCGCCGCCCAGCAGGTGCCCCTGCTGCTCCATGCCGACCCGGCAGTGGCGGCGGTGGCGGGGGAGGTGGCCGCCTTCTGGAAGCTGCACGTCCGAAGGGTGGACGGCAAGCAGCAGCAGCCGGGACGCCTGCACGACGCGTGAGTGGCCAGACAGGGGCAGGGTAGCCTCGGCTGGCTGGTGGGTTGGCTGGTTTGGTGGGTGGGAGTGCCTGGCGCTGCCTCGCGTGAAGGCGCAAGCTGCGGCTTGCCTCTCGCTCACCCCTGCCGTGCCTGCTGTGCCGCCTGCCCTGCCTGCCCTGCAGCTTCCTCCAGGACCAGCACCTCATAGAGCAGCTGCAGGGAGCGGAAGATGCCGAGCAGCTGCGCCTGGTGCTGCGCCGCCTGCTCGACGCCGGCTGGCTGCACCGCACCTCCCGCCTGCTGCGCCCCGCCCCGGGGCCTCTGGCCGCACAGCCGCCGCCGTGCGCCGCCACGGCGCCTGCCGGCGACACGCGCCAGCTGCTGGCAGCGGTGGCAGCGCCCGCTGCGGCAGCCGCGGCTGCCAGGGGGGCCGGCGCAGCGGCGGTGGCGGCGGCGGCCGCCGCCGCAGCAGCAGGCGCCGCTGCTGGCAAGGCAGCGCCCGTCAGGAGGAGCAAGTCCCGCTATGCTGGAGTGGTGCTTGATGGTAGCAAGTGGCGGGCGCTGCTGACTCTGTGCCAGCCTGGCGCTGCTGGCAAGGCCGTGAATTCTGTCAACGTGATGCGGCACAGCGACCCTGCGATCGTGGCGGCGGGGCGGGATGTTGCTTTGTACTGGAGGGCCGAGGTGTTGCGCCAGGCGGGGGCCAAACGAGCCATCCACCATGCCAGGTGCACCACCGGCTGCAACTTGCTGTATCTAGTGAGGGTCTTGAGAGCTGATGACGTGTCCCTGCCTGCCAGCCACGGCCAGGTTGGGGGCAACCTTCTCGGCATGCTCCTGCCATCTGCACGTCGCTTCCTAGCACCTGCAGAAACAACTGGGCTGCATGTGGCCCAGTTACCCAATGACTCCCTGTGTTGCCCTGGGCTGCCCTGCGCTGCAGATATGCGGCAGACGCGCGGCTGCGGGAGCAGCTGGCTGGCGTTGGCAGCGCGCACGCCCTGCGCGCGCTGTTGAAGCAGCTGTGCGAGGAGGGGCGGCTGGATGAGGTCGCGGAGCTCTTTCGCAAGGAGGCCGTGGCGCCGGCTCCGGGCGTGGTGGCGCAACAACCCGCTGCACCGCTGGCGGCGCAGCAACGTGCCGCAGCTCCTGGCGGGGGCGACCACGGACGTGGCGCGCTGGGTGTGCCCCGCACGACCCCTCCGCCTGGCGTCACCGGCGTGAAGCACCTGAATGGCCAGTGGCATGCAACGCTGTCTCTGCAGCAGGGCACGCAGGGCGGCGGCCCAGCCAGCGCAGCGGTGTTCTGCCACCCCGATTTTGCGGTGGCGGCAGCGGCCCTCGACCTGGCAGTCTACTGGAAAACGGCAGTCCTGGGTCAGAGGCATCACTTGCAGCAGCCAGCCGTGCTGCATGCCAGGTGCGGCTGCCTCCCTCCCCCGCCAACCCCTGAAGCCTGACTCGTAGCCTGCTCGCTCTTTGCTTACTTGCTTGCCTGGTGCACTGGCTTTCGGCGGTTCGGTTCGTCATGCATGTGCTCTGTCTGTCGAAGCAACTGCGCCTGCTCTGCTGCCTGCCGTCTGTCTCTGGCTTCTTGCTCATGCTCTGCCACGTGCCGCCGCCAAGTTGCAGGTATGCAGCTGATGCGGGGCTGTTGCGGCAGCTGCGATCCATCACCAGCGTGGATGCACTGAAGCAGCTGCTGAAGTGGCTGCACGCCGAGGGGGCGCTGCATGAGTCGGCAGCACTCCTGCAGCAGCATCGGGCGGCAGCGCCGCCAGCCGCAGCGGAGCGCGACTGGGTGCCAGAGGCAGGCCGTCCAGGCAGCCTGCACCGCAGCCGGAGCGCCCTGGCCGAGGCCGTGGCAGCTGCTCCCGTGCCTGCCGACTGGGAGCGGCACATGGCCGAGTGCCAGCAGCTGGCCCGGCAGCGTGCGGAGCGGTGGGCCGGCGCAGTAGGCGCGTATGACGCCAGCTGGCTGCTGCAGGAGGACCGGCTGCCGCAGCTGGCGCCAGGCAGCCCAGCAGAGGCGCCGCCGCCACGGCAACGCAGCCTGCTGCCTCGTCAGCAGCAGCAGCAGCAGCAGCAGCAGCAGCAGCAGCAGCAGCCACCGTCACCTAGCGCCTCGCCCCAGCTGCGCACCAGCGGCGACGACGAGTTGCTCGCCCGCATCGTGCACCCGCCGCGGCCGGGAGCTGTCCAGCATGAGCAGCAGGAGGGGCAGCAGACGTTGCAGGAAGGGCAGCAGCCAAAGCAGGCGGAGCGGCGCAGGCCGGCAGCCTCCCCTGTGTTGTCCCGAAGCCTGCGCGCCTCGCCGCAGCCCGCCCCAGCCCACCAGCAGCAGGAGCCAGCCGGCAGCAGCCAGGAACACTCTGGCGTCAAGCAGCAGCAGCAGCAGCCAGCGGGGACAGAGCAGCAGGCCTGTGAGGGCGCCGCTGCCATGAAGCAGCTGCAGGCTCTGTTGGATGAGCTTGCCATCGTGCCGGCTCCGGGCGTAGCAGACAGCGGCCTCGGCAGCAGCACCGCTTCTCCCTCGCCCCTGGCGCCAGGCCTGTCAAGCAGCGGCAGGCCTCCTAGGCAGGCGACCGAGGCACACACGCCCTCGCCGCCCTCGCCGGCTGGGCTGGCGCCGGTGGTGCCGCGCCCCGGGGATGTACTGCTGTACTGCCGAAACTGCCGCGGTGTGGGCGGCCTGCCGCTGCTGGAACGCCTGCTGGTACTTCACGCCCCGCAGCCGCTGCTGCCAGCCAGCCCCAACCGCAACGTCAGGTGGGTGCCAGGCGGCTGGGCCTGGCACGGTGCACCTCTGGCCGGGATGCGCGGCCTGCCCTGCCGCTGCCGCCGCGCAGCCGCCAAGCGAGGCGTGCACCCTGCCGGCCGCCACATGCGCGGCCGCCCTTGCTGCCAACGACTCACGCCGCCCTGGCCCCCCCTACATGCAGCCACCGGTGCGAGTGCCTAGTGCTGGGCCAGGGCGCCCATGCGCAGCAGCTGGCGCCAGGCCCGGTGGCCCGCACGGCAGAGGTGCAGCTGGGGCGCCTGGGGCGCAAGTGGCGGCTGCCGGCAGTGTCCGCCAAGACGCGCAACTGGTGCATCGAGGGCAGCGTGCCGCGGCCGCAGCGTGAGTCGGCAGGCGCCAGCGCCTTGCTGCTGGGCTGGCCGGCAGCGTTTTGAGTTGCCTCCACATGCATGGCCTGCCGTCCCATCACCTGCGCCCCGCTACCCCCTGGCAGCACGCGGCCGGGCAGTGTTCTATAACCTGGCATCCCCTGCCAACTCCTGTTGGCAGCCATCAACCTGCCGCAGCCTGCGCCGTTTTCCCTGCCCCTGGCTGCAGTCGCTGCAATCTTGGAGGCGCTGGCGGCGCGGGAGGCGCAGCCGGCCCAGCAGCAGGAGCAGCTGTAGCTGGCGGAGCGCGTCAGGCCTGCTGTAGAACCTGGCTGGAGGCGCTTTTCTACTGACCTTTCTCAGCCTGCATACATCCAGCCAGCCAACATGACCTCTCGCAATGCTGACTGGAACTTGTGACATGCTTTATAGCACTGAGTGATTTGGGGAAGCTATACGGGCAAAAGAATTCGGCAATCCATTCAGCACGGCGTCAGTGCCCGTGAAGATGAAGTGATTGGAGAAGTGATTTGGAAGAAGGGAAATCAGGGAGAGGCACAGGCTGAGCGACCATTGCTCGTTATTCAGGCATGGAAAACTGATGTTTTTATAGGTTGGTGAGACATGTGGGGAGTTTTGAGGGTAGATCAGTGACGGCAAGGCTAAGGGGTGAGAGCAGACGGGAAGGGTGACGGGCAGGCGATCCAAAACGAATTGCGACAGTGCAGCAGATGCAGGTAAAAATTAAGCAGTGTGCACGAAAGGAGTGCACGGTGTGGCATTGGAAGGAGCAGCAACATGTGGGATATCTGGGGCTGCTCAGTACGCGCGGATGGCTGCCGGCTGCGGCGCTGGGCTCAGCATGCCCTTGACCCTCCGCATCAGGGCCACCAGCGGGCTGTCAGCCGCAGTGGGCGCCGTCTGCGGTGTCGAGGTGGCGCTCTGGCTGCGGCTGCTGGCGGCCGATGGCGGCATGCTGATGACGACGGGGGTGGCGGAGCGGCCTGGCGCAATCAGGTGGCCAGCTGGCGCCGACGCTGCCCTGGCAAGCTGCACTGGCGGGAGTGCTGCTGCCTCGCCACACACGCGGCTGCGCTTGGCGGGCTGCTCCCGCAGCTGCGGCGGCGTGTCCTGGCGCTGCAGGGTGGGCGCCGCGAGGGATGCTGCCGCCGCTGCGGGTGCCTTGGCTGGGCGGGGCGGCTTGGCAAATGCGCCCACTGGCTGCAGCGCCCGCACATACACGACAGCGTCACCAGGCTGCAGGCCGCTGCCGGGGGTGAGCGGCAGCTTGACGCTGAGCGCCGGGAGGGCGCGGCGCTGCAGCAGCTCGTTGGCCGCGTTGCCGGCGACCGAGGAGCGGCGCCAGGCGGCGGGGTCCTCCATCTTGGCGCACTGGATGCTGAAGTCGAGCTGGCGCTCACGCAGCATGTAGTAGACTGCAGCGGGAAGGGCAGGGAGGCGTGGTGGAGGTCAGCGGCCAGCTGGCTGGTGCATGGTTGCGGCGGGCCCGGCAGCAGGCACATGTGGCGGCAGCAGCGGAGGCGACAGACCCAAGCAGGACCGCGCGAAACCCACTCCACTGCCACTCACCGGTGGGGGACTGCAGCCCCGCAGGCCACATGTCCATCGATCCAGCTGTGCTACTGCAGCAGGAGGGCGGGGTGGCGGTGGGTCAGAGGCTGCTGGTTCCGACAGTCATGACCGGTGGGGGCAGCGCCCCAAAGCACTCCCCAGCCCTCACCCCACGCCCCCCGCTCACCTGCATTTCGTCATTGAGTGGCATGACACGCAGTGCCTGCAGCCCGTGGGCCGGAGGCGGGCGGAGAGGAAGCCCATGGGTGTGTGGTTGGGCCTCTGGGTGCGGCAGCGGTGCCCCTGGCGGTCGCAAGAGGCGTGGGAGATGTGTTGGGTGGTGGGTACAGGGATAGGAATGAATCAGCGGTGCTTGGGAGCGGGCTATCACCCTGCAAAGCACGGGACACAAAATTGGAAAGCGGCTTTCTCGCGAGACCCTTCGGTCACTTGCTCCTCTCTGCGCTCTCGCACCTGCCACTGCTGCAGAAAGTCCATGTGAGCCAACATCCCACGTTTCAGAGGCGCCCACAGTATCCAGCGCCGTTGCCATCTCCCTCCTCCACCGCCGCTGCCGCCGCCGGGTGAGTTGCCAACGGTGGTTGACCCACGACCAATAAGCCTCCACCCCCCCTCCAAACCTCTACCAATGGAAGGAAAATGCCATGTCGAACGCCTTCCACAGTTCCTTGCATTTCCTGGGTTGTCCAGTTGTGGCCACCTCACAGGAACTCGCCGTGCTGGTGACAGGCGGGGCACAAGCCGGCGCTGTTTCAGGGGGAGCAGCCAGGAGGGTGACCACAGTGCATCGTATATGCAAATTCCTTTTGGCAGAAGAGAATTCCAATTGCTCCCTTCAAGCCCCAAACAAATTCATATTCCCAATTCCCCTACTCCTCATTCGAAGCCAAATTAATTAGTGTAATGTCCATGTGTGTGCTGTGCAAAAGCATCACCTCAGAAGCGACCACAGCTGGCGACCGAAGCTGGCGACCGAAGGCTGTGACAGCCTGCTTGCTTGTGTGGGCTTACAGTCTGGTTTCAGCAAGAACAAGCTTGCAGCACAGACTTTGTTGTTCGAGCAAGGAGGGATGAAGCAGGGAACAACAGGCAGGACAGGCCAACTGACAGGTCACCGAGCGTTTAGTGTGTGAGCGGGCAGGCAGTACTGCATGTTGTGGAGCAGGTGTGGTGCGGTAAGAGCAAAGGGGGTGGACATGAGAGTGGGGGTTCAGGGCGGGACTGCAGGCAGCGCAACGGTGGCGGTCAGCCAGCGCTGGTGACAGGCGGCAGCAAAGGCGGCGAGGCGGCACGGTTTCTGGCTGAGGAAGCGGTGGGGAGGATGGGGCTCAGCAAACAGGTCAGGAAAGTTGAGGCGCAGCGGGGCGTAAAGGGGGCAGGTGAGCAGCATGTGGGGGGCATCTTCAATGCCGTCGTGGCAGTGGGGGCAGACTCGCTGCTCTCGGGGGCGCCGCGTCCAGCGGCCGGACTCTTCCGCGCCCCAATTCGACCCGGTGCGCAGCTGCGCCAGCGCCTCGCGGTCCTGCCGACGCCGTACTGCATCCAGGTAGGTCTCGCGCTGCCCAAACATGGCGGGCGCCAGGTTGAGGGCGCCCACCACGTTGTGCACATAGTGCTCCAGCCGGCTGGCGCCGCCCTTCGCCAGCGCCTCCTGGAGCTGCGCCAGCTGGCGGCGCTGCGCAGCTTCCCCCAGCTCGCCGAGGTCAACAGGTGCTGGCTGCTGCAGGTCCAGCTGCATGCCGACCGCTGCGAGACCGGCCGCCAGCTGGGCAGCCCAGGACTGCTGTGCCAG